TTCTACACGTGCAGCCTTTGGATCAACCATACGCAGCGGGCCCTCTCGGTGCGCTGCGTATTCAATATACGCAGCGCACCGAGATGCCCCGTTTCTGCAGTGCATCAGGCATGTTTGCGCAGATGCATATTAATGATTTTTATGCCATCATGCGGAAGAGAGCCGCTTCGTTGCTTTGCAGGGTGCGGGCCAGCTCCAACTCCATTCTGCAAGTTATAGGGGGTCGATATGATTCCCCTATTATTGCTTATTGTATCCAAAAGTGTATAACGGGCACAAATTTAGTATATAAGTAATTAAATTTCAATACTAACACTAGATAATAAGTAATCATGTAACTAACCATAATATGGATGTATCCTTGTACGAAATAATTTATTATTATTATTATAAAAGGAAAAAATATCGATTAATTACATAAATTAAGGAGGGGGAATTCCGCCATAAATAAAGTATTTACGTAGGTCTCTACTACAAGCTTGTACAGAACCTCGCTCTGAGCTTTGAGTTGGAAATATTATCTTTATAAAATGAAAATGACCTTAATGAAATATTACCTTGAAAAAAAAAATAGATTTACTAACCCTTAAAACACATGTTAAAAGGTACTTATACAGTAAGGGCTAACCTGGACCCTGCCTCAGCATTAGCTGAAGCGACATTGTGTCGCACTTGCGCTGATTTTCTGGCAGGGCCTACTTAGAGTTATACATGTGTATATACACACTTTAGTTATGAACAAACTAATATTGATTATGAATGAAAATGTTGTCTAATAATTTTGTGACAAACAGTATAAAGACCCTGAACTGTAACTTTTTCAGATGACGAGCTAGTGATGTACCGCTTCCGGGATTTTTGGGAATTTTCTGCAAATGTCTTCGGGATTATTCCAAAGTTCCAATTCGGAAATTTTCCCCAGAAAAATCGATAATTGCAATTATTTCTTAAGCATTCCCATTGATGGAAATGGATATGTATGAATTTTTTTTTTACTATGAAAGGAATCAACCTTTTATCCTTAAATAATATTAAAATAACTAAAAACTACATAAAGCAACGTAAAAAACTCAAGTTTTAGTAAAATTGCTGTCGAGCACCCAATGCTCTTTGTATAATACTTTATTGAATACTTTTGAGCTCAATATGCTCTAAAAGCGTGTTAATAACTAACTAACTGTTTATTTATAAGAAATAATAGGAGTTAATACAAAATAAATTAGGAAAAAAATTGGTGAAATACCAAGGAGATCAACACCAATGGAATCAAAAAAGAAGACGATTTTATCGATTATGCTAAAAATAAAATTTATTTCACATATTGAATAAAATATATAACAATGGTAACATAAAGCTATTGTGTTGACATCAAACAATAAATCCTAAAAGTCTTATCACATTTTTTCAAAGTGATCAGGGTAATCAACAATCTAGTGAAACAAAACCAGAGGTATCAAAAATGTCTTTCGTAATTTTAATCTAGACAAACGAGCAGCACAGCACACCCCAGCAGTGTGCACTACTGCACTACGAAATTCGCATCTTTGATCTAGTATTTTTGATCGAATGTCTAGGAAGTACTAGTAACGTTTCTATATACGCGGATTCCTTTTTCAAAATATTTTAATTGAGATTGTCACCAATTTCTATTGAATTTGATGAGTGAGCCTTTTTAAGTAATTTTTGATGTTAAGAAAATATAACTAGAAAAAATCCACGCGGACCAGGCAGCAGACGGAACTCGAACCCGCACCCTTCGCAATCCGGGCGAATGCACTGACCAATTACGCTACCGCGGCTCTCACGGACCGCGTCAAAATTCCTCTAGCCATTCTTAAGCTGCAAGTCAGTGCATTCGCCCGGATTGCGAAGGGTGCGGGTTCGAGTCCCGTCTGCTGCCTGGTCCGCGTGGATTTTTTTCTAGTTATATTTTCTTTAGATTTAAACATCAAGCAGTTACATGCTTTAAAAAAATAAAAAATGTAACTTACTAATTGCTATTTCTTCTTTCAAATGTTTAATACTTGTAAAAGTATTCATTTGACATTGTGGGTTACCTATAATGCGAAGAGATCAAGCAGTTACATGCTTTAAAATATATATATATATATATATAAGTTTTGATGTTTTTTGAAATAATTTGTAAATAAGGTACAAAATTGGGAAGAAATCGAAGGTCTCCTTTGATATTCTGAGGAGTTATTCTCTCTTATCCCACCTTTCCCTTTCCTTCAGAGGACCACGCGCGCTGGCCTACGGTGTCACCGTCTATCTGTGGCCTCAATTCCAACGCGTACAAAGAAATTTGGTGACTCATTTCTTTGTCACACTATCCGTAAATGGAATGCTCTGCCCGCTCACGTGTTCCCTCCCTCTTACAACCTGGGATCCTTTAAAAGAGGCGTGAAGAAGCAACATGCAGGCCGGCAGGGTGAGGATGGCTGGTGTGGCAGGTAGAACTGCTGTATCAGCTATCTTCGCGTCTGGACTTCACTTTTACTGAACATCAGGTGGGGTGGAGTTATTTGTCGGACCTATAAAAAAAATAGGGATAAAAAATAAATTATAGTAATATAAATTATTTACGGGATTGTTACCATGTACCTTGTTTTTAGCGAGTTTCCGATATTTCGGCACTGTTGCAAGCGCCATGATCACGGAGTAACTGAGTTACTCCGTGATCATGGCATGGTATTACTATAATGTTAGTGACCATGAAAGTTTAAAACAAAAATAAATTAGTTTTATATTTGCATATTAAGTACCAAATTCATTTCTTATCAGATTATTTTTAAATACATACTTTTCAGATTATGTATACTTATCGTCTCCATACTTCTGGGACACCCCAGTAATCACTTGAATTGTGATCAATCAAATTTTGTGAATCAGTAATTATCTCGAACGGGTAAGTACCGGTTTTGTATCGGTTCCATTTTAATACTAAGAATCATAAATGAATGAATATATGAATGAAACACTTTATTGTACACCATGAGATTGTAAATTACAATTAATTAAGACTATTACATTATAGTACAAACAGCGGCCTTATCCCTAAAAAGCAATTTCTTCCAGGCAACCGTATGTTAACTGGACTGTTACATAGAGTGTGGGAAGTAGATGGTGTTATTTAAAGTGAAACTACCATTAATAATACTTATAAAAAATTATGTACAACAAAAATCGATCTATCGATCTGAGTCGCGTGCAATTGGAGAGGCCTATGTTCAGCAGTCGACTAAGATAGGCTGTTGATGATGATGATGATGTACAACAAAAAATAAAATACATAAACATAATACATATATCCATATATAAACACAATAACAATTTAATCATACTTTGGATGAGTTGATGACTAGCTAAAGTGTCAAGTAATGTTCCTTTAACATTTTATAAAACAAGCTAATGTTTTAGCACCTCTGATTTTTTCCGGCAAGGCATTCCACAAACGAGCAGCCTGAACTACAAATGACTTGTCCATAAATTTCGTGGAGTGCATTTGAATCTCGAGTGTTAAATTCTCTGACGATCTCAAAACACGAGCATGTGTATCATGCTGAAAATTAAAATGGTCCTTGCGATAAGATGGAGTAAAGGGATTAAATAATATACTGTAGAGAAGGAAAATGATATGCATGTTCCGGCGAAGACGAATTGGCAACCACTTGCGCTTAGTGCGGAATCGGATATATGATCATATTTGCGCAAACCAAATATGAACCTAATACAAAAGTTTTGAAGCCGCTCAAAGTTTATTCAGTTGCTCCTCAGTTAGGTCTAGATAGCTGACATCGGCATAGTCCAAGATTGGTAGGAGAAGAGATTCTGCGAGCGCAGTTTTAGTAGCAATTGGAAGAAAATTACGTAACCTTTTCAAGGAACCAGCTGAAGCAAACATTGCCCAATTAAGGTTCTTGTCTATTATAACCCCCAATTTTTTTACGTGGTTACTTGGTGACAAAGTATTACCGTCGAATTTAATCGTTGGTAAACCTGCCCAGTCGATTTTATTGGTCATTGCGGGTTTCCAGCTATAGATAATCATGTATCTTATCTATAGCTGGAAACCGTTAAAACGTTTGATCGTCACTTGCAACTCCAACCGGTGTAACTGAAAAAATAGTAAATTTCCTTCAACCATTAACGTCAAGTGCGGAAAAGCGTTACGAATTAAAAAACCATCACGGTCTGTAATTTATTCATCTAATAATGGCTAAGTTTGTAGATAAACTATTCAGGATTGATTTTTAAGATATAAATGAAGCCTGGGTGTATAGAACTCGAACAATAAGAGGAAAATCGGCCAGATGTCTTTTTGATTATCCGGCCGTGAAAAACAAAGTAAAAAAAAAGCTACACAGCCGAGGGGGTACCTACCCGGATTTTTAACGTCTGATGACTGCTTAAGATGGCGGCATATGAAATGTATGAAATTAATTAAACATGTCAAGACAGACCATAGACACTTGTCTATGGTTCTTACTTAAGAAGAGGGCAGAATATTCCTTATGTTACACTGTGCCCCATGTTATACTGTCCCCCATTTGACCCTTCTCGTCCATGTGTCCATCTTCAGCGCCCATCTTCCCAAGATAGCCTGATACCAAGTTTCTAAAAAGTGTTTACATTTGTGTTAAAATGCCAAAAGCTATACTACTTTTTTAGATACCTTGTTTCTCAAATAAATTTATTAGAACTTCCATTATGTTTTTTCTTCACACACTTATCTGCAAGATTTTACGAGGTTTTGAAATTAAGTGGGCCTTCATTGGCGCCTGTACCTTAGATATGTTTGGGGCGCTTCTGTGCAGTTAATATGGTATCTAGGCGTGTATAATAATCAAAGAGTTGGTAACACAAAACTTGTCTGTCGTTTCAATATGTCTAAAAGGAATTAAGTTATAAAAATAAAATTGATTATAACAGATTACACCTGAAAAGTGGTATTTTATCAGTTACCTCGCATTATTCTGATAGCGACAAATCGGCTTTTATTACTTTTCTTAAAAGCAGTCGTTCAATGAGGTGCAGTGTTTACAGAGACAGTACTTAGTCTGTAGTCAGTTTTTTTATTTGAAATCAATATGTCAAAAGGTAAGTCCATTTCATTTATCAGTGATTTTATCAAATATTTTATAGATATAATAACCTTGTCTTTTATGCAATCAATAAAAATATACAATGAAAATAATAAACAATACATAAGAATATACATAATGTAGTACCGTCATACCATACATATCATATTATTATACACACACGCGCGCGCGCGCGCGCGCGCGCCCTCACACACACTTTCTGAATATATATGTCAGTTTCTTGTCTTTTCTATTTTTATAATTTTGAATGTAATGGACTTATGATGCCATATGTACTAAGAGGATTGGCGCTGCGCTGTATGCCGTTATGCAGGCATTTTGCCTATCTCGGCAGCAGATAAATATGTAGTTATGTTAAAGATATTAGTACTGTTTTAGCCTTATAAATGAAATTGTAAATCACCTCTTATTGGAAAGAAAATTTATTATTATGTTCATTGAATAGGCAGCTCCTTAATTGATATATGCTAGTAATCTTGCCAATGCTGCTAAAAAAATTACCTACCTAACACATTGTCTATAAAAAATAATGCTAAGAAAATGTAAATAACAGCTGTGGGATAATATGGGACTTTTGTGGCTTCCCAAACATAAGTATAGAACCTAAAATATTTCTTCTATTCCATCTATGATTATTGTAGATTTTGGACCGCAATATAGTTAAAATTTTGGTAACCTTACGATTTTAAAATGTGGATTCCTTTTTTTCATGACTGCAAAATGGTGCTACTCGGTAACGACTTTGTCTTCATTGTAACCCCTGTGATGATGCTACTGTACGCCCTCCAGCGCCGATTACCCGAGCAATAGTTTACAGAGGTAAAAACTAAAAATATTAACTCCGTCAAATTCGAATATTTCTTAATTTTACTATAAGAGCCACTTACACCAACATTCATCATCATCATATCAGCCATACGACGCCCAGTGCTGAGCAAAGGATCTGTATCGATAAGTCCTGCGCTATTCATATTCACTGTTTCCTGTGACATTTACAAGATCGTTGATCGACCTCGTGGAGGGCTACCCAGTGAACGTCGTCGGGTGCGCTGTGGCCATTCAAGAAACATTCCGCTAAGGACATTCCACCAAATCAAAATTAAACTTTTACTAAGTTATCAATCATATAATTATGACCAAACAATGTCAGCAGATTTGGAGTCTTCTTTTATGCCTCATTATTATTTATTTATTACATTAATTAGACTTTAAATTTTATATAAAAAAGCAAGGACAAAAGTCACAGCATCATGTTTAATCAAATTTGAAAATTAGTGAGTGAGTGCGGATGATAGTCTCTCAAAAGAAAATCTAAAATTTACGTAAGAGATTTAACAACAATCAATATATTTAAATATCGTTATTATTAAAACAATTATACTATTATAAATTATATTAGATATTCAAGAATAGATATTTTTTTTCAATAATGGGTCCCGACTGTTAAAGTAGCTTTATTCCTTACTTAACAGAATTATAGACTAATGGACTTATTTTTTTATTTTCAGTTTTTATGATAATTTATTTTTCATCATTTAATAAGAAGGAAATGTATCACAGTTTTATTATAAGTACTTCGTATGGGATTAGATACTGTGAGTAGCCCATTTTTTTCTTTTTCGCCTAGGTTTTATCTACGTTCATAAACACCAAAATTCTTCTCCCACTATGCCCGCAGTTTAATACTATAGTATATATACTACACGCGCTATCACGTTTTCATCGTTGCAACTTTTTAAATATTTGTTGAAATACCATAGTGTAAAAGGCAAACTTTATCGTCTTTAAATATCAAAACCGATAAAAGTATTTATTTTGATAAAAAATAATTTGTAAATACCAAATGTGCATTTTGGAAATGGACATCAAATAATATTTTATTTTAGATTCACTATTTTAGTGATAATGGCTTGTACATTCAAAATACATATATGGTGACGCGGACTTTTTTGTAGAACTTTTTAAGAGATACATTTTCACTCTACATTATATTTATATTATTGTAAAGTTTCAATAAAATCCATTCAGTATTTTTAGGTAAAAAAGTAACAAAGATCATACAAACGTAAGATTGAAATTAAAAGCGCAAGTGGTTAATATACAACTTTAAATCGTTGTAGATCCTAAACAGTCATATAAAATGAAAAATGGTATAGGGAGCCTAAACATGATTTTCGATTATCTAGACAATGATACCCCACTCGACATATTTCGTCAACATATTTTTTTTTACTTCATCACAATATGGCGCCTAATTGTCCCCATACTGAATTTTGATTACTATCATATCTTTAGTAGCACTCCCATGATTAAGACGAATCGATTGATGTATGAATCATCAAAATCGGTCCACGCGTTTGGTCTCTAGTGTGCCACAAAGGAACAAACATACATATATAGACTGTTAAACACTACACCCTGTCTGCGCGTCGCGCTTCGCGCTCTTGCATTGCGCGGTCGGGTAAAAAAGCAATCCACTAATCAAATTTCTTCTAGTATTTCTTAGGCTGAAACGCAGCGCCAAAAATACCAGCGGTTTGTTTAGTTTTTTTCTAGTAAAATTTTCTTTAGATTTAAACATCTAGCCTAGCATGAGGAGGATTAAATGATTAAAATAAAATTATAATAAAGTACTGTTATGTTTTTTCAGATCCAATCAGTTGGGTATCTGCTACACCATCCACAGCAGAAAACTTCTCTAATCAGGCCTTCGTCGCAGGAAAAGAGGGTTGGGACGGCAGCCCTCTTTGGATCATCAGGTCACATCATAAAGGCGAGCTTTGCCTTGGAAAGTTGGCTATCAAACACCGTGCATCTTTAATCCCGCACGCTGGACAAGAGATTCAAGTTGAAAATTTTGAGGTACAGCTATTATAGGAAATCTCTTTCCTGTTAAGTCACATTCTTTTATAAAAGAAGTACGTCACTGTTTACTTCACTCCCCGCCAGAAATTACTTGCCTTACTAGATTTTTCGTGGCGCATAATCAGCAGTTTTACCTGCCACATTAGCCTTTCACACCTGGCAGGCCCACATGAATGCTTCTTTACGTCTATTTCAAAGGACCCTGGTAAGGGTTGGGCAATTTAAGTAAAGACAGTTAATGGATTACTCGGTTAGAACCCGCTACCCATATTTGGAGAATGGTTGCAGATGATCTTTACAGCGTTACCTGTCTTTGGGCGGTGAGTTTCATGAAGGATCTCGGGCCAAGAAATGACTGTAGCATGATTTAGTACTTTACTAGGTAGAGGGCATCTCCCCGCACAAGCAGTCTCCATTGCAATTACTCTGGCCATGCTTTTTTATGTACAAAGGGTAACAAACAAGTATATGGCCTGCCTGATGATAGACGGCCACCATAGCCTATAGATGCTTGTGATACAATAAATATCACTCGCGCTGTTGCCTACCCTGACCCAAGTCACCTACCCCGTGGGGCCCTGGAACCTTACTCAACAGAAACACAACACCGCCGAAAGGTAGTACTTTACTGTGGTCACTTATAAGGTGGAGGTTACTTCCCCAGACAGGCGCTCCAATTGGAGCGGAAAATAGACTATTCTACCTCTCTCTGCTTGTCTCCCCCTTTGGCATCCCACTCCAACGCATGGTTCCCAAGTGGAGCGCGCATGGACCTCGCTACTTTCTCTGGATAACCAAGCGAGATCAGGGTGATAGCGAGGTGTTTTCCAAAACATGATTTTAGTAGACGACGACTGGACGCCGACAGTCGAGAGGGTGCCGGGTGGCTATAATGAGCGATAACCTTACATTTATTCTCTTTTAAAAACTATGATGAAAGCACTAATAGACTTGAGAATGATAAGCGCTACAATTTGCCATCCAGTATCATTATATCCTTGATGTCCGCAGATTCTGCTTGCTCAACCGTCATCAGTTCACTGGGTGGCCAGCAACAATGGTCAAGTACCCATAAGAGCTATCCATGCCGGCAATTCTTACGACGGCGAGCCTTTCTACATAGCTAGAGTCGGTCACAGAGGATCACTTACACCAGGAAAGGTAAAATATCAATCATAGCAAATAACTGACAATAAATTCCTTCGGATCATTCGACATCTGTTGCAAAGAGAAAGAACAGGGGGATCACAAAAATAAAAGGCCACCGTATGCAAAGTGGAGAAGATGTGTCAAAAAACGGGCAAGTGCGAGTCGGACTCGAACGAAGAGGTCCGTACAGCAAATCGCGAAGGAAAAATCATTTGTTTGTTTCCGCCATAATTTACAAAGTACAAAATTTACCGGCGTGTTCAGTATTTGTTGTTGAAATACAGCATATGGGTCCATATACCAAAATTTTACCCCCATTTCTTTGTTTTTGAAAATAAATATAATATAAAAATATAAAATAAGGCAACCTTAGCTACACTGTAAATAAACAGGTCATATTTTAATTTGGAAATATGCGAGCTAACTGTATACCTATTTATACATATTGGTATGTAGTCTGTACTCATACGTAGTTCACTTCAGAATATTCCTTACCTTAATGAGCACAAAATGATCGAGTATAGACTATTGGTGTATGTACTGATATACAATATGTCAATACTCCTCCCGGACAACGGAAGACGCGAGTTCGAGTCCTGTCTGAAACTATGACCAAATTCATTTTAATCTTGTAAAAAAATCTTTAGATTTCTAGTAAAGGTACTTTGTACTACAGAAAAATATTAAATAACTGTGCCATTTTCAAAAGTCTTACATCAGGACATTCAAGAGTAGTAGAAGGTTTGTATTGGAATTATCTTGCAAATCCAAATTGGTATACTCTACGTCAGTTATAATTACATAATAGAAAATTGTTACTATAAAAAGTATTAACTTGGTCCAGGTATATTTTCAACACAGTTTTTTTTTAATTTAAACTTCTTTTCGGACGTGTTGTAAATGGAAAAGATGAATCGGGAATGCGTCACGAGCGTCACAATTCGTGCGCAGCTCTTCCCGACAATCATTAAAGTTGGAGGGTAACTCGGCGAAGGCTGAAACACTACGAGCGTCACGAACGTCACAGGCGACAATATGTATATACAGAGTGGCCTGAACATTGACATCCAAAAAAATATAACAAGTGATAAAATAGCCAAAAAATTTTTTAAATCAAATTAGCCTTTCATAAGATTTTTCCACCTCGCTGTCTTTGAAGCCTGATTATTGCGAAAGTAATAAGTAACTACTATTTTTAATGATAATGGAAGCTGAGTATATGGCCCATTCTTAAGGGCTACTTAGAAACCATGAAGTCACCTGTTTAGATTTTTAATTTAAAGTTTAAAATTTAAGTCATAATTCACCGAACGTAAATTCACTTTGAATCAACATTTTCATAACTTTCATCAAAGTTACAAAAACTTATTATTTTATGCATAAAAGTACAAGTCATGAAAATTCAGTTGTAAATAAAATATACGGAAACGTCTTCTAATTTTTTTTATTTTTTTAAGTAAGGTATGGTGTAAGGTCTATAATTCCGGAAAATTCAGAAAAAGAATCATAACTTGAATACTATAAGAAGTCGCGAAACATACATGGTAGTGATTCGTATAGCCCACGATATGAGGGACCTAAATTTTTTTTGGACCTCAATGTTCCGACCACCTGTATATTATATGAGTGATGCGAGCTCTGATCCATTCCCCTATACCCTATGAACCGCCTTATTTTAGGTTATATAAGAAAAGAAGTTTCATTTCAGATGTGTGGCCCGTGCATACTTTTTTGTTTTTTGCTGTGTCCTATTAGTACAAGTACTGATTTATTTTCCAGGTCCATCCTAGCCGACGGTGTTGCTACATTCCATTCGGAGGCAGTGAATTATCGTTTACAGAGTACGAGGTCCTCTGCAAAGTTGATTAATCCATATGATTGTCATGGATAATATTACTTTTTCATGTTTGTATAAATACAAAGCTTTAGGTTTCCATTTTTTTTATATTTTTATTTATTTGCGAACCTAAACTACAAAGTTGCATTATTTACTATGGTAGGAGTGCAGCTGGTGTTTGTCGTAATCATCAGCTAATAGGAAATATGCATGATTTTTTTATATTTTTCTTTAATAGTCTACATCCCTTTGTCAAACATAAAAAACAACGTTGAACAAATAGCATGTAGTTTTAAAAAGAATGATAAAAATAGCCACCTTACACGGGCATTTTATACGCTCCCTATTTTGAACGCTTGGGCGTGACGTCACAATTCATATCAACCTACAAACAAGATGAATGACCTTGCAAAATACTGAAATTATTTTGCGTTCTATACCTTCACGGTGGATGGAAGTTGGAAACCACGTCAATCAAATAGACATTATGTTTAGTACGTTTAAAAAAAATTAGTGAAATGTTTCACTCGATGTCAAGTGGAACACAATATAAATTCCTTGGTGGAACGTAACCTTGACAACTACGCACTCGAAGCACTATCATCATCATCCTATTAATGTCCCCACTGCTGGGGCACAGGCCTTCCCTATGGATGGAATAGTGAGATATAGAGAACGCACTATAATCTTGTTGAAATGGCAGATGCTGTGAACATCACGTTTGTTTGTTGTTATAACGTTTTACGTCACAACCGCTCTCGTCGTGCTTCAAATACATATTTAAATTTCCCACAATTTTTTTGCACATGTATGTCATTAATTTTGTACGAAAAGTTTATTATTTAATATTGATCAACGGACAACTTAGAAGTAATAAGGTTCCATGCATATTAACATCTCTATTGCAGTGGCACAGACCTTCATCATGGACGTGATATGCCATGACCAATATAATTTATAGTTTGCTTTAAAATAAATTATTACCGGACAACAACCCTACGACAGTCAAAAATTAGGACCGTTACAACGAATTTTAAGAAAAGATGTAACATACACTTCGTCGTAAGAATTTGAATAAATTGTAGGCCAAATTTTTCTGAACCAAGACAGAAAAGAACACGCACATAGTAAATTGAATTTGGAATCCAGTGAAAACGTGCCGAAACCGGTCAGAACGACACTTAGTCCGATTAATGCTGAGAAAAAGTTCAAATGGGCAGGAAACCCCATAACCCTTAAAAAAGCGCAAAAATCGAATAAAAATAAAAAAAATCAACTTATCAGCTATCCAACCTAGTGTCTAGCTCAGCAGCTGATTGGTTGTAGTCGTTGTAGAGTAAGAAAAATACGGTTAGTGGGTGAAAATTGAAGTAGCCGAGAAGAGCTTAACAGGATAACCTATGACGAAATAAGAAGGTAAAGGTTTTGTCAATAGGAACCGGTTATATTTAAATTCGAATAAAAACAAGATTGTTTACATGTAGATGAAATTTTCTTATTATTTGAGTATGTACCCTTAGCACCAACCAATATCGAAATCGAAATGTCATTGTCAAATTTTATTTGAAAACTTGAACAGCGGCGCCACAACGGACGTAACGAGAACTTAAAATTAGTACACACTTGACGTACAAAATAGATCGAATACGATTATAGTTCGTGTTAGGGGTACAGATCTCTAGACGCGGTGAAGTCCCTCGACGGGGATCTCGCGGTTCCGCACTTTACAGCGTAGAGGGTATTCGCAGGATTTTTTAGCGGATAGTATGCCGTAAGCCCTCGTATGCCGCGCAGACTGCTTAACGGCGTCTCCGTTTCGCAACCGTGAGACTTGTGAGAGGCTAGGTGTGAGGTCCGTTCGTTGGTGTGCCCCTTAAGGGCGCAAACGACTGTAATTAGAGATTTTGCCTGCGTAATAAAAAAAGGGGTACAGATCTCGTTTAAAAAAAGGGATTAATTATGCCCCAAGGTCAAAATGCGCACCATATACACAGTCACTCTTTTTGGATGCAACAGTCTTTCATGAACCTCTTCAAGATGTTAAAGCCCGAGCTTAAATTTTTTTCACTATTTGACGAATTGCGTCCTCTTTAAGACTGTTAAGTTTAAGGTACAATTCCGCAATGGGCTGCAGACGACAACCGCAGGCGACACTGCGGCTAGCACCTGCGGCTGACCGCAGTGCTGCCTGCGGTCGCGGCAGCTTCTTTTCCAAGCGCGGCAGCATGTCGCTGCGGCTGCACAATGCATTTAAACATGCCTCAGTCACTCCAATACCTACGAGTACCGAGAGTATAGTGTTATCTCTTTTTGTCTAGCAATATTTTCCAACACTACTTTTTTTCAACAGATTTCAATATCCATGACAACGAAAGAAAATAAATTTAATAAAAATGAAATCTAAAAACTTACGAGTGAAATGTTACACCAATAGCTTTATTTGGATTTCTAGAACTGTTAGAGTACTTTCCGAAAGCATACGGCGGTATTGTAATACACGTTTCTTGCAAAAAATGGGAATTGGAAAAAGAAATGGGAGTTAGCTCATTCGAGTATTGACAGATTTCGGTGTGATCAAACTATGGTAAGGGCATATCTAACGATTCAAATCTTTGGTGTGACCTCTCTGCGGTTGGCGACACCACTGGAACTGCAGTCTGCGGTCGCTGCACGCCGCAGCCGCAGTCTACGCGCCGCGGCTGCTGGCCGCAATGTCGCCGCGCTCCGAATCAATTTCATAGAGATCCATAGAAACTAGTAGTGTCGCCTGCAGTCTGCAGCTGCGGCCTGTGGTCTGCGGTTCAGTTCGGACGTGTACCTTTACCATAAGTTTCCCGTTAGCCACGAAACGATTGACAAATTGAAATTCTATGATTCAATGCGTTACTCAACTGTGTAGTGCCTCATATAATAAATGCCGTACTTTTAATAACTTATCTGACAAAGATACTTTGTCCCTATCGGAAAACCCTGTACAAAAACCTCTAGTAAACAAGTCACTATACCTATATATTGAGTAAAACCGTTTGGAGTTGGAAAAAATCCTCAAAATAAGCGCTTCTCTACAATATGTACCTATTAACTTAAACAATATACTTTATTTAGATTGTAGTCACATCACATCACATCAACACTACCTTGACGCCTGCTGTACCAAAATTGTGACACTACTCCACGGGATAAGAGATTGGGTCAGCAGAGTAGGCAACGGTGTTATGGACATTTTGGTATCGTAGGCGTCTATAGGCTATGGTGGCCGCTTACCATCAAGAGGGTCATAGGCTTGTTTGCCACTATGGTGCGTTCTGTACCAACTTTGTGACTCCACTGAACCTGTAGTCCTGTGGAAACACCTTCTACAACAAATGTAAACAACGACCTGTTATAAGTATTTCAATTTATACCTTTTCATAATCGTTGCTTAATGCAAAAATTAATCACTCTACAGATTAATATATTCTAGAAAGCAACTGTCTTCAACGTATCAAATATCAAACTTATTTCAGTACAAATACGAGTGCCTATAGATTGAGATATGTCTTAATTCTTTGTTATTATTCATTTGTTATTACTTAGAAATCATTTACAGCAAAAGCTATCTATTCACTTCATATCTAATCTGTAAGTTGAAGCAGATATGATACTGAATCGCGGTTATCCGAACAAATACGTAAATTGTAATCGAACGTGACTTCAGTGAAGTGCAGTCTATAGCATAAGTTGGATTTTCATAGCTTAGCCTGTTAAATTAGGGATTTATCAATATGGCGAACCGTAAGTACCTCCTACCTTATCTACTAAAAGCAGTGCCGATCTTTTGTTATTCAAATATTAACGACATTACAGAAAAGAAAAAACTTATGCTTTCTTTCTATAACGTTATAGAAAGTATAGAATACATACTAAGTTTGATTATTCAAAATAAACAAACGACTACTTTGGCTGACTGATGACTAGATAGGTCCAATCTATGGAAGAACGCGTAATTGTGTCCTCACCTGTGGAGTAAAGGGTGTTGGGAAGGGCGAAAACGGGGACCGCGAGAGTTCGAGCGGCAGGCACTTTCTTGTCAAAATAACAAGTGCCCGCTGCCCGCACCTCTCACGGTCCCCGTTCTCCTACTCCCCCACAACCTGTACCCCGCAGGTGAGGTCTCAGTTAGGCGGTTTACCTAAGGACGAAGAATCTTGCTACTACAAAATAGTCATTTTGTGTTGTTACGCTTAGGATCCCATATTCTAAATTCCCAAACGAAAAATATTACATATTATTTATCTGACAAGGGACACTTATTTTTACTTTATTCAAATTTTGTATACCTATTTTTATTTAAAAGTATCATTCTGTAAGCGGGTATATCCGGGCAACATACTTGTTCCATTAAGCGAACAAGCGTGAACGTGGATATAAATAGTTATCGCCGCTTCACGCGCATCGCAGAGAGTCATTACCACACCACTGATGTGAATCACGTCATCATTTCACAATGGTGTCGATTCTGGCGTGATTCTCTAAACTTAAAACTAAATTTAATATCAATCTCTCCTTTTCATTCCGTATAGAGAATGACAAGGATACACTGTTGTCAAATTTAAGTTTAGGTTTAGAGAATCGTTTCAGAATTGACACCAATAAGTGGTTAAGTCCCGTTGTTATTAAAAAAGTGATAATATAACTGTAATGAAACTTAATGGATAATTAACATTTGAGAACGGCCAGTATGATAATTATTTGTAGTAGGTAACTATGTATGTTATCTGATATCTTGGTCAATCCTTGAATTCCAAGCAGAATGAAACTTTTTCCGAGCAGATCTTGGAGAACTGTAGAGGAGGTAATTTTAAGCTCCAATTTCGGGCACAGGCGTAGCTAGGGGGCAGCTCTCTGTGCAACCTAAAATTCATACCCGGGGCTCTCAATTCACCCTAAAATTCGTGCCAAAAACCCCTAGCTACGCCTATGAGATCGGGTCGGAGTAATTGTAATGTTACGTACCTTGTGCTCAGATCAGTTCCGAGCGAGCAAATATTTGTTTACTCGGTAAATGGAATGCTCAAAACAATTTTGCGTTGTTTTCATCGCTCCACCCTCCATGTTTCCATTTACCGAGCGAGCACATGTTTGCTCGTTCTTATTAGCTTACGTAGCAACGCAGCATTACATACGTAAGTCCAAGGCTTTCAGACCACAACTACCTATGAATATATCCGATACTGTGAACTATCTATCCAACCCTGTTTAGCGATTAAGGTGGCATCTGGTGCATTCTATTTTTTTCTTTCGCTTGTCCGGTAAGAAATATATTTAGGTATTTTTCTCAATGATTGAAATTTTTAAGAAGTTACTTACCTACACACACACACACATCAAGAATAGTTTGAGATCACTTCCAAAAACTGATATACTTTCAAAATTTTACTTAATCAAGAGAAAAGTTTTATGATATATCTTTTTTTATTTAAAAATACACTTTCTGAAATTAAAAAAAAAACTATTTTTATTTTTTAGTATACAAAAAATAAAAATTCAATTCTAAGGCGATTGTAATAGAAATTTGATAGAAATAAAAAGATAGCTTAACCAAACTTAAAAACCTTTTATTAATAAATTGTTGTTTATCTAATACAAAATAACTTGTGGTAAATATTTCTTGTGGTGACCTGTCCCATTCTTGAACAGCAGCTTCCCTGAGCTGCGGCACTGTCTGGAATGGTGTCTACCGGTTCCAAACTTTAAACCTAACTTTTAACTTAACAGCATCTATTGGGTTTAAGTCAGGAGAGCCGGCAGGCCAGTCTAACCTTGTGATTTCGTATTCTCGGAGAGCAGCAGCATTGACTCGCTGAGCTTGATGTGCGGGCGTATTATCGTCAAAGAAGAGGCAGTTTTGCCAAATGTTTTCCTCTTCGTCTTCTTCGTTTTACCGGAGCCTAACCCACTGTAATCTCCGTCACTGACATTCCCGTGAATTCAAAGGTGCTCGCCAAGACCTCCGTGCTCGTAATCCAGCCTTGTGTAGGCAATTCCGAATGGCCTGTGTGCTAACTTCAAATCCGGAGGCGGCCCGTATTTCTGCTTTTAATTTAATGGCGTTTATTGTTGGGTCGCGGGCTACCAGCAACCTGAGCTTCTGAGCAGCTGTCAAAACAGTTGGGCGACCGCTGCGGGGTCGATCAGCTAAATTACCCATGCCGTGTTACCTCTGCAACGTGGTTACTACACAGGATTGGGATATAGCAACTTTGCGTACTATTTCTCTCGTTGAATACTATACACATATATGTATATAATAATAGCCTTCTTCCCTCAAAGTTACAATTTTGGCTCGAAAACATCTAATAAAATCCTCGTGGCATTTTTTAAATCACAACTTTCCGTGAAAAAATATTTTAAATTCGATAATATTGACTAAGTCAGATTTCTGAATGAGTGTCATCTTGGATTGCATGTCTTTTTATATGGAAAAACAATTTAATAATTTTGTTTTACGTTCTAATTCTAATTTAAAAATCTTATCAGAAAAATAAATTACAAAAAAGTCTTCTGTAATACAAAAAAAAAACTATTATTCAAAGTAATCGCAAACTTTCATACTTAGACTTTCATATGATAACATATAAAATATTGATTGAAATGATTAAAATAAATACACTAAAAATACAAACTTATTTCTCTTTAGAAAATATGATGAAAGCCGCGTCGGCTTTTTGCTCTATGGCTGAAGGTATCTCTTTGAACTTAAAAGATCCCTTATCGTTCAGAGATGTTTATGTACATTTACATCTCTTCGATTTTGTAACTGTCATTTAGTATGAGTCACATTTACTTTATGGATGACTAACATTTATTTATGATTCACGAGCTCTTGTACCTTGTCGACAAAAGTACTTTGTGCGTAACAAACCTTTTTCAATCCTTTCTTATCTTCCTAATATTATAAACTAGCGGCCGTCCGCGACTTCGCCCGCGTTAACTTTAGTTTTTTGACAATCACACAGAAACCTAACATTAATCCGTCATAAAAAGTATCATATGTCTCAATTCAAGTCATTAACTATATACGTACCAAATTTCATCCAAATCCATTCACACTTTTTTGGCGTGATTGAGTTAACAAACATACAAACACAGAAACGTACAAACTTTTACATTTATAATATTAGTAGGATGTGTCGAATTTCATACATTGTACAATATGACTATTCAAGCATTTCTCGAAAACTAAAAATCGATTTGCAGTGATCCTCTTTCTCCACCTATATAAAATATGGTTACTTAAAAAGCAATAAGTGATAGTAGTGTGTGTAAAGCACCGTTGAAGGTTAAATACATACATAAAATAGATATTACATACATACAATTTCAGCCATTGTATATATTTGTATATCTTTTTGGACTGTAAAATATCTAAAGCTGCTGCGCAAGAGACATAACGACATTACTAATGGTACAACAAGAACGTCTCTTGACTAAGTAATACCCTGGCATGACGGAACTTTAAAAGACTTCTTAGCTTATAAATATTAGAATGTATATTAGAAATGACGTATATTAGAATACCTACTTGAAAAAAGAAAATAACTAAGTTTTTACTTTCAATATATTTCGAAAAACTGAGGAATTGGTTGCCACGGCCCTATAAATATAAATGCTTATGATGATATGAGTGTATACACATACGCACCACACACATATACACACACACCCACACACTAACACACTTATTATACACTTCCGGACTCTTGAATCGAACCACCTTACATTCCCGGGCCTAAAAGCCCAATACACAAAAAATATACAATATAACAAAAAAGTTTTTATGCATTTTTAATGCTGGCATATTTCATCGTCTTTCCCGTATGTATTATTCCAAATTTGAATTTTAGAATTTTAAATAAAGAACAAAAGCCGTGCTTGGTCACTGATTTGAAAAAAATAATGACTATTGAAAGTTGCTTTTGAAGCAATTTAATGTCGATTTGGTTTGGATTTTCGCAATTGTTGTAAACCAAAGTTTAGTTTAGTTATTTTTCTACAATTTGAACCGTTTTTGGCTATAAAATTATGGATACTTCACCTGAAGTATCCGCGCAAGCTGTAGCACTTCTTCAATCTGGGCTAAGTCAGCGAGATGTGAGTTCACAACTTCACATAAGTCGTTCCGCTGTTCAAAGAGTGTACCACCGATACCTGGAGACTGGCAGCTTCGTTCGGCGAACAGGAGGACCATGTTACCGAGTGACAACGGCGAGACAAGATCAATACATTGTCACTACTAGCTTACGAAATCGACGCCTTAACTCTGTTCAGATACAAGAACAACTCAGTGACTTTCACGGAGTGGCTGTAAGTGCTCGGACCGTTAGAAGGCGACTCAATGAACGTGGTTTAAAGCCCCATAAGCCAGCCAATGGACCCAAATTGCCACGAGCACACCGAATAGCCCGTCTAGAGTTTGCGCGCGAACATCTAAATTGGACTCGACATCAATGGAGCCAGGTTCTCTTCACAGATGAGTCCAAGATAATGCTATACGGTAATGACGGAAGGAGTAAGGTGTACCGAAGACAGAACGAGCGTTTCGCGCAATGCTGTATTGACGAGAAAGTGAGTTATGGTGGAGGATCATGGACAGTCTGGGGAGGAATCTCTATGGAAGGCAAAACTGAGCTAGAGGTAGTGACGGGACCACGACTGCCGCCCCTAGATGACAATAGATACATTCGCCAATGTTTAGAGAACCACGTGATGCCATATGCTGGATTTATTGGCCAAGATTTCGTTTTAATGCATTATAATACAAGGGCCCATACTACGGGAATCGTCAGGGAGTACTTAAATGACATTGGTATCACTGTTATGAGATGGCCAGCGCGAAGTCCTAATATGAATCCTATAGAGCAGCTATGGGATGAGCTGAAGAGGCGTGTTCGAGCACATCATCCTGCCCCGCAACACCATGCAGGAGCTCAATAATGTAATTTTGGAAGAATGGGAGGACATTCCTCAACATGTCATAACGACATTGATTAATTCTATGCCAAAACGTATGAGAGCTGTCACAAATGCACTGGGAGGCAATACAAGTTACTAAATAAACATTTCTTTTCATGTAAAACATGTCTTTATTTAAAAATCGATTAGATTTTTTTCCTTGAAAAAAGCAAATATGGACTTGTTTCAACGTAACTCGACTTTTTTAATAAACTGTAGTTCAAATTTAGAACAGTGGTACTCTAAATGAATGATGAGTATACCATCTCCAAAACTGCATCATTCCTTCTACATACATCTTTTATAAGTTACAGTACTCCAAGTCAAAAAAATCAAGGTGGCTCGATTTAGGTGTTCGGGAGTGTATTAATGTACTGTAATATTGATTAACGTAAGAAATTTACTCATGTTATTTGTATGGCTACATCTATAGTATATATAAAAAATCATTTAGCTGTTCGTTAGTCTCGCTATAACTCGAGAATGGCTGAATTTATCTTATCTTGGTCTTAAAATGTTCGTGGAGGTCTAGGGAAGGTTTAAAATGTGAGAAATATGGAAAAATTGCGAGGAAGATAGTAAAAACGTCAATTTAATTTTCCCATATAAACTGTGCTATCTTCTTTCCTATCAAATATTTTCAGTTCGTCCCTTTTGGTACGGTAGACTCGGGTCCGTCATTTCTTCCGAATTATTTTAACGCATACGAAGTACGCGGGATCAACTAGTTGCAAATTAAATTGGGGAAGGGCGCCGAAGCCAAAACACAGGATGAACTTCCTAGTTTGGCTGATTATGTCAATATGTAAATACTTTGTGTGCCTTAGTTTTAACATATTTACAAGATTATTACCATGTACAATTTTTACAAATAAAGATATTATATTAGTTAGAGAAAGGAGATGGCTACACGGAATCAGTGGAGAAAATGGACACTATTCTGTTTGCAATAACATGTCAATATTATTAATCCCATTACAGAACCCCCTTACGGTCCTCCCCAGTACCACGGTTACCCGCCGCCGCCGAACTCAAACATCGCCTTCGTTCCCGCCCCCGTGATGATGCCAATCTACCCTCCCGCACCACCTCCACCGATGCCAGAAAACAACCCTACATACGTCACGAACTACTACTATCCACCGTCGTACCAGCAGCCAGAGCAACCTCCCATCGTACAACCGGTTGAAGGTATATTCCCAAAACCACCTCCCGTCATATAAGCTGTTCAAGGATGTTCTGAAATCAAACTGCCTTCCTATAAGCGATTCAAGGATGGTCTGAAAGCAACCTCCCTTCATATAAGCGGTTCAAGGATGTTCTGAAAGCTCTAAAAGCAACCTCGCGTTATACAACTGGTTCAAACTGTTTAAGTTTCTAATTAATCAATCGAGAAAATCACCAAGGACATATGGACATACGGTCCTCCTCTATGGAGGTACCATATCATAAATTTTCTTTACGCCTACATCGGAAGTTAGGTTTAATGTTAGGCAGATAAGGGAAAACTTCAGTTGCCTGCATCGAATTAAAAAAATTCATTGAATAAACGTTTCCGTACACAATAATCCATTGATAACTTGACGAGCTCCGTGACCGAATGGTATGCACGTCGGGTTTTAAGGTGACTACTCGAGAGGACCCGGGTTTGAATCCCGGTGGGGGCAGATGTTTGTGTGATGAATACGAGCACTTGTACTCCAGTTATGGATGTTTATTATGTATTTTCATGTAAATATACTTATTTACGTATGTATCAGTATATGTATTCTATCCGTTACCGTAGTATCCCATAAATAACACAAGCCCACATAGCTTACCTTGGGGCTAGGCGTATTGGTATGAGTGTTGAAAATATTTATTTATAAAAACGTAAGACTCTTAATATTGAATTTACTAGCAAACCAGTGAACCAAATGTTCACCAAAACCTGATTTCTCGAAAACCGGAAGTGCTACGTTACTCAAATCCGGTTTGTAGTCTTATCAGACTATTCTTAACTTATAACTTAAATATTCTCTTTATCTATCTCTTACGGTTAGGCCGCTGAAACAGCACCACAGACAGACGGACTTGTCTAATAGATAAGAGACTAGCAAACCAGTGAACCAAATGTTCACCAAAACATGATTTAAAAAAAAATGTATTTAATTAATTGAGAACTTCGAAGATTTTGTGTGGTTTAGTTTGAAATTCGTGATTTCTCGAAAACCGGAAGTGCTTCGTTACTCAAATCCGGTTTGTAGTCTTATCAGACTATTCTTAACTTATAACTTAAATATTCTCTTTATCTATCTCTTACGGTTTGGCCGCTGAAACAGGTCGGGCTTGTCTAATAGATAAGAGATTCTGCTTGAATTTCATTTTCATGAGAGATTATAAGTTTAACGTTACTACATTCTTCGGTTGTAGTGTGAAAATGTATTCATAAATTTTTCAATTATTTAATTATAATTCTCAACGACACACTACCGCAGTTTAGAAAATAAGTTGACCTGCATCTAATATGATTTAAATTTCCCAATTTCTTTTTTTTATATATATTAACGTAGACAAATGACTCTAGCCTACCTTATGTTAAGTGGTGGTAAAGTTTAGACGCGGAGATAACTGGTGCAGCAGTTATAAACTGCCTCACCAACCATACTCACTTTGCCGGTCTGGAGCAATGCTTCTTCACGCCTCTCTTAAAGGACCCCAGATTGTATAAAGTACGACAAAGAAGATGCTAATGAAATATCACGTATTTTCAGAACCAATCGACTGGGTATCGGCTACAACGTCGTCAGCAGTCAACTACTCCCACCGAGCTTTCGTCGGCGGTAGAGAGGGTTGGGACGGCAGTCCCCTCTGGATCATCAGGGCTCATCACAGTGGCGAGTTCATCCCTGGAAAGTTGGCTATCAAACACAGGGCAGCTTATGTACCGTACTGTGGTAAAGAAGTCCCCGTCCACAACTTTGAGGTATAGTGGTCCGTAGTAGAAGTACTTGAGCATCATTACACTATATTTTTTATTTGACATGAAGTGTAATGTCTGCGTTTTGGAGAAACTCACTTTTTCGCCTTATTATTTTTAAACGTGGACTAAACCCAAAAAAGTTGGTAAAAAACAATGCAGCATCATTTATTTCTCTTTTTACTTTAGTAAGAGATTTATTGAAAGGCTGATTATGTTTAATTATAATACTTAATTAAACTTTTACATATTTTTTGGCTCCGTGGTCAAAATACTAAGACCTTTTTATTGATTTTTGCCTAGCACATACTAAATTTCCAATTGTATTGAAAAGTATATAAAAAAATGTAGTAATATGCTAGTTCACAGCTCATATCTGTTAACCCACCTTAAACCTATTTTTTTTTATTTTATAAATGAAAATATAGATTAGTAATGAATTATATGGCTTGGGCCATGACCCTTTTGGCTCTACGGTTAATTATACGCCCCTGGCATTAACTAAATATTATTGGTCCCCCTGGCTAGAACTCCATCGAGTAAGAAACGGAGTTTGAGGTGTACGATTGATTCAAAAGGTTAAGATGATTTAAAAAAAACCGGCCAAGTGCGAGTCGGACTCGCGCACTGAGGGTTCCGTACAAACCTCTAGGTATATTTTAATAATTATTAAAAAAAAAAAATATATAGTAATAATAATAATAATAATAATAATTTATTCTCAGACAATTTAAGTCCATAAAATGTTAGTAACAATGTACCTTAAAAACTATGTTAGTAAAGTATAAAATAGATTACAAATAAAATAAAATAATATAATCATCCCCTGCTGGAACACAAGGCACCCCCTACATGCGGCCCGGGGGCTTCGCATGCAAATGCAACCAGCGCTCCAACAGTGGAGAATCCCACCTATCAACTAGTGCCGACAGGATGCTGTTGGTGCTGCCACGTATTCTGCTCAGCAGTGCCGCGCAGCGTTTCCTTATTATGGCATGAAAGCCGTCAATATGCACATCTGCGAACATACTTGAGGCACTACAACACCACGACAAACCCAACAGCACCCTGAGAGCATTATTGTACTGGACCCGTAGTGCGCTGTAAGCCCTCTGCGTAAATCGGACCCACAGGCTACACGTGTAGATAGACTGGCAATACGCCTTGAAAAGTGTAATTTTTACTTGCTTTGTACAACGTGCGAACCTGCGAGCTAGCATATTACATCGAACTGCCAGCGCCCTACGTTCCCTATCAATATCTATATCATCCTTTAACATATCTGTAACCCAGTGGCCAAGGTATTTATATTGAAATACTCTCTTTAAATTTGCATTACAAAGTTTGACAGGTAAATCAGGACTAATACATTTTGTCCCAGCTTTGAATACCATAAACTCACTTTTGTTCGCGTTATACTTAAGCCCGTGAGCTTCTGCATAACGTTCACAAATTCCCAATAATTTTCTCATAGCACCCACTGAAGGGCTCAGCAGCACCATATCATCAGCATAACTAATATTGTTCACACAGACTCCGTCTATGTGACAACCTACGCCAGTGCTGCTGAGCCCCCCAATGAGCGCGTTGATGTAAAGATTGAAAAGACGTGGTGAGGTTATTCCTCCCTGTCTTACGCCACACTCAAGCTTGTATGCACTAGAATAGGCACCCGCCCATCGAACACTATTTCTTTGACCACTGTACCAGTATTTAAGCAGCGATATATATTCATCAGAAAGGCTGGTTTCAAATTTTAGTTTTTTCCAAAGTATATTATATGATACCAAATCAAATGCTTTCGACAGGTCCAGGTAACAAGCGTATACCGGTGTTTTTCGAGCAGTATAATATTGAACAGTCTGCTTAAGGCAAAAAATTGCACTTTCAGTTGACAGCCCAGATTTGAAACCAAACTGTGCGTCGTGCAAATGTAAATGTTTGTTTAAGCGTTTATCAAGCAGACTGTCCAAAACTTTCGCAATAACAGTGGCCAATGAAATTGGTCTATAATTTGACAGTTCCGATATGTCACCCGTTTTATTTTTAACAATGGGTGTTACAATAGTATACATCAGTTTATCAGGTAAATAGGAATGATTCAGACACAGCGAGAAAAACATTGCCAAGACTCTAGGCAAATGTACGCCGCCATTTTGCAGATGCTCAACACTGAGGCCATCGTGGCCTGGGGATTTCCCCCTGGTCATATTCTTAATCACAAACGCTACCTCCTTGGCGGAGAAGCGATCACTAGGCATGGCATTTTGACATTCAGCATTGAGCTCCGGCAACCATGCGCCCAAAGAAGATTGTACTCTGAAACTACGACTGAATGCTTCCGCAATTTCAAGTGGCTCATGACAGCCAGCGACACTCACAGGAAGGCTCACCTTGCCACTTAAACTATTTGTACATTTCCAAAATTGATGAAACTTCCTTTCTTTGTGATGGTCAGCCAATAAATCCATTTTAACTTGTTGGGAATTATTTTGACTCCATTTTAAACGTGACTTAAATATTTTACGTGAGTTATACATGTCTTCATAAATGCAACCACTACCTGGTTTGTCAAACAACAACCATTTATAATAACATTCCTGAGCCCTCCTGTGAGACTCTCTAACATACTTATTCCAACCTATTTTATATTTCCACTTTCGTTTACTGTAATTATTACTAGTAACAGCAGCGTCTGAAAGAATTTTTACAATTTTATCGTACATACTATCCAAAAGTAGTCTACAACCCTTTTTAAGACATTTATTATCCGCACAATTACCAAATTCTATAGGAAAATTAAATTCTTTTAATTCTAAATTACAACTTTCAAAATATTTATTTCTTTGAGTTAAATTCCTTGTGCCCCAGACAATCTTATTACCAGAGTAATTTTTACTTGAAGAAACATATTTAGATTTTAACAACTTTAAATTACATTCTATTTGCAACGGTATATGGTCAGACCAATAAACATCATTTAAGACAACACAGTTAATTAACAGTTAAATATAGGATGTAACTAAGAATTTACGGTTTTCGCAATTTTTCCTTTATCTGTACTATAAGACGTTACTTCGTACCAAATTTCAAGATTCTAAGTTCACGGGAAGTACCCTGTAGGTTTTGATTCCCGTGCGAGTTTCGAAAATTTGCGACATAAACGGCTGTATCTTTTGATTGCTTTGGCTTAGAAGTTTGATTTTTTCGCAGCTCCAAGGGACAGTACTCCTGAGTATTATATATGAATTTCAGTTTGATACCTCTACGTGTTCCTGAGAAAAACGGTCTTGACAGACGGACGGACGGACAGACGGACAACAAAGTGATCCTATAAGGGTTCCGTTTTTTCCTTTTTAGGTACGGAACCCTAAAAATGATAGGAAATTAAGTTTCTTTAAGAAACGCTACCAGCTATGAACTCTTACCAAGGAAATGTTGTTAAAGTCCACATATCTACAGATTTTGCTTGCCCAACCGTCAGCTGTACGCTGGCTGCCCGGCAGTTATGGCCAAGTGCCTATTGGAGCGATCCCGGCCGGCAACACTCATGCTGGCGAGCCCCTCTACATAGCCCGAGTCAGTCACCAAGGGTCTTTCACACCGGGAAAGGTGAGAAGTCGTTGCAGTCATCATCATAATCATCATCAGCCTATTAATTTCCCCATTGCAGGGGCACAAGGAGACTGGGCCGTTATCCACCTTGCGGGCCCAGTGCGGATTGGTGGGTGCTAACGACTTCAGATGCAGCCGGGACTAACAGCTTAACATGCCTTCCGAAGCACGGAAGTCGTTGCAGTAAATAATAATAATTATACTAGCGGCAACCCGCGACTTCGTAGGCGTTTCCTTTAGTTTCTTCAGAATCTCGCAAGATACTGAAAATTTTCCGAGATATAAAGTATCCTATGTCTCAAACCAGGTTATAAACCATACGGGTACCAAATTCCATCCAAATCCGTCAAGTACTTTTTGCCTGATTAAGTAACAAACATACAAACTTTCACATTTAATATTAGTAGGATTAATAGGAAGCAGGGTAGCTAAAACTCGAAGAAGAGATTAATAACTACTTAGCCTTAAGCGAGCCCCTTATTAATAAACGAAGAATAAGTTTGGGTAGAGTTACTCCATGTTTTGTCCCTGTTCATTGAATTACAAAATGGCTTTATTTACATCAAGAATGCCCAGGCGATAATTCCTCGTTTATTGAAAGGAGGATAGTGTTTAGGGCTTTTAATTGTGTCATCATTGTGTTTAAACTTTTAATATCATCATTGTATCTATTAGATATTTATATATTATACTTACTTTTCTTAACCTCACACGTGCACATAGGAGTATCAGTTGAGTTTCATCTCCGTTTGCAGCTGCTTAAGTTATCTAATCTGTTCCGCTGTAATTAATAAGTCCTCCTTGTCCTTTGTTTTTCCTCCGTGTCCTTGTCAATAACGATTGACCCCCGTTATCGTCTTTTGATTTGACGCGGCCTAAGAATATGAATACTCAAGCACGATTTCTTGTAGAATACGACATTTTCTTTTTCTCATGATTTCTTTTAGAATACGAAATTTTCTAAATTGTCACGAGTATGTCTACATTATGTATCTTCGTATTTATCATTCTCTTAATAAACATTGTTGTAATAGCTAATGTTGAGATTAGGTATATGTGTGTTTTTTCCAGTTTTTGTTAAATCCATAACATCTTTTTTGACAAACAAGTACAAATATATTGTTATCTTCTTTTGCAGGTCCACCCTAGCCATCAGTGTTCTTACATTTCATTCGGTGGCAGGGAGATGTCCTTTAGAGAATACGAAGTCCTATGCAAGGTCGTCGGTTAATCAGTATAGCAATAATTTAATATAATTACAATCAATGATAATACATAAAATATATCATTGATTCCAATGAGTCGTGTACATTTAACCGGACATAAAATATAAGAGTGGCTTTCAAGAATTACTTATGATTTTTTCTTAATTTTGGTGGAGTTTGTTTATTTATTTATAATAAATAATATTATACGTTCTTGTGGTAAAAATAAACGAGAATTATAATATTTATAAGTGTTACTTTTTAATTTTATCGTCACCTAAATTGGTAAGGAACCAAAATTGTTAATTGACTCCAAAATTTGTTATTTATCATTATATGAGATTAAGGCCGGGGCTAATCTTTTTTTGGTCTCTCCTATCCATTTCAAAAAAATAAGAACATAATATAAAATAAAGGAAAAATAATTTATTGTTTAATATTTTCTTTTTATGGAAATTCATCGAATGCTTAAAGGTCTCTTCAATTATACAAGGTGGCGCAAAATGAATTATATAATTTTGTCATTGTAGAAATTTAATCTGTATTCACAATAAATGCATTTATTATTAGTGCTAATTTTGTTTGCGTGATACCAAAACTGCGTAATTATGAGAAAGGTTTATTTTTTGCCCGAGTACCGAGATTAGGGCTGTGTCGTCGCATACTATCACTTTGTAATAGATCTATGTGATATTGTTTTATAGGTATGCTGATGACACATCTCTTAATTTCAAAGCTGATAGAGGCATGGACCAATATAGATTAAGAAAATTTTGCCGAGATAAATGACAGACACCCTTTCAAATGTTCTTCATTGATTTACTGTTAACAAGTTATTATTAAATGCAAACAAAACTAATGTCACCTTACCTTATGTCAAGCAAGTTTTTAACACGATTGATAGTAAATAATAAACTATATAGTAGCATAAGTTCCACAACATTGCTGGAAATCACCTTAGATTCAAAACTTCAGTGGGGTCCAGATATTGAAACCTTGTCAGCAAACCTCAGTTCGGTTGCTTTTTCGGTGAGAATGATAAGACAAATATCTGATATTGAAAGGGCAAACTAGTATATTTTAGCTACTTCCGTAGTTAACTATCATACGGCATATAATTTTTTGGGGCTCAGCTGTGGACATTAAAACTGTGTTGTTCAAAGAGAGCAGTGCAGGCCATTTATGTAACTATTATATTATATACGATAAAAGATTCTCTTAAAGATTGAGGTCCAAATCTTTAAAAGAATATTTTGACAAGGCGCGGCGCAAAAGTAACCAATTATATTTTTGTATAACTTTTTTAATTAATAAAAAAATATAAATGTTGAGCGATGGAAGTCTTGATTACGATCTTTAAAAATTTTCTGTTAAATAGAAAGATGATATCCGTCAATTAGCTGTCGCCGTGTTCATACATATTTGTTTTCGTTTTATCGCATTTTCCATTATTTCCGCAATATTCCCGGTGATAACTGTTCGCATTCCTGTCCTTTGCTTAGTAGTTAGTATGTTTAGTATTATTGTATTCACACATCTCTTGATTACAAATACTTTAATGTAACGAAATTGGTGGAATCAATAAAAAAATAATTACAACTTTTCTATAGTATGGTGTGAGTGTTGGAAATATTTATTTATTATACTTATCACTTCGAACCTTCATTGGTTTTGTGTGTGGATTGTGGTCCTCAAAAAGAAATAAAAAATCACGTTATATTTAAAAATATTTATAAATTATTACAAAAAGAAACTATAATATAAAATAAAACATAAATTTTCATTTACGCATGTCACATTTTCTAGGTGTAATAATCTCATTACTTAACAGATGTTGATGAGGTGTAAAATTGTGCAATAAAATGAAAAAATGGTTATGGTATTTTATGGCTTGTCTTGCTCGAGATGCGGTCCGAAGTTGTTAAAAATATACCAAATGCGAGTTAAATAATTTACTTGAAAGAATTTCACATTGTAAACTAGTGTAGCGTTTTAGTACACAGCGAATGCTACTAGATGGCGCTGTTCCTGCTTAAAAGGTAAATATGGACTCGCAAACGGTAGACTGGAATCACTCGAGACTTCATCGCTATCTTCCCTCCGCGAAGGTGGGCTGATCCATAACCATCACGTTGCCTCCGAAGTCGTTGGGATCCCCTCTTGTGTCTGGTACGCCATTATCGACGAAATTGACATTCGAGTTGTCATCACAACAGAGGCTGCAACAAGCCCCCATGATGCCTAAGAACAAAAACAAAAATACATGAATCACCAACAATCGTTACTCCGTGATCATGGCGCTTGCAACAATGGCGAAATGTTGTTGGTTTCATGAAAACAATCAAGAAACAGCCGTTATTGTCATAGAAAATAGATATAAAAATGCCAATTTCACATAAAATGTAAGATGGAAGTTAAGTATTCGCATACGCGTTTGTCGATATTACCTTACCATGTGAACTTGAATTTGCTAAGTGTAAGTATTTTATTAACATCTTTGGTGAACATTACGGTTATGGTATTATGGTTAACAAAGGTAGGGCATAGCGGTATTACCGCTCGAATTGGAGCGCCCGTCTGGGGAAGTAACCTCCATCTTTTAGAAGACCACAGTAAAATAACACTACCTTTTGGTGGTGTTGTGATTCTGTCGGTAAGGTTCCAGGGTTCACGGTGTGCAACAACCCGGTTGATGTTTTTTTGGTATCCCAAGCGTTTATATGAAGTCTATATTTGCCGCTTACCAACAGGCGGGTCATATGCTTGCCACCTGGGGTTGCCAATCCTACTATATAATACAGTATCCTACTATAGTAGGCGTAACTACTATATTTTGCTTAAAGCAGATTATTGTCAGTAAAAGCGTTCTTAGAAATAAAAAAAAATATTAAGACATGGAAGAGCAAAAATGTATTCATTTTAAAATTAAAGTGGATATTTTAACCACATACTATATTTTTTTTACCATCTTTTTGCTATCTTACTATATTTTTAGAGGTAACAGCTTCGAAAATACTATATTCAAAAGAAAAAAAAATTGGTAACCCTAAAGTCACCCTATTAACATAAAAAAATGGTTGCAATAAATATTGTGTGTCCTTTTTATAATTATGTATAATATTAGGCGCTGTTGTATGAACGTAAAATTAAATTACCAATTAGACAAATTTAAAGAATCAACTGTTATCGATAGATTGGTTTGAGACTATTATCAAGCAAATCATGTGATATTAATTAATTCGTAGTAGGTCCCATAATTTAGGTTTTATGATGTAAGTATTCCTTTTAATAAAGGCAAATGAAAAACTTATAATTTCAGTTCCAGCTATCATCAGCTATCGTACAAGGGGCCTCGCGCCTCAAAATTTTTATGCATTGCTTAAAAGCGAATTTCTTTTTTTTATTATTTTATAAAATCCGTCTTCAGGTCGCCACAGAACAGGGCCTCGCGAAATCTGTCTTGCCCACATCAAATTTAGGTCTTGCCCCGCTATTGTTCAGTTCTATACCTATTAGAAAACCTACACTAGGTATTAATATTTCAATTCATTTTATGCAAGAATATTATTATAATACGTAGATAAGTATATAGTTATGTTTTTTTATGAACGTAGTTATATTATATGGTTAGTAACTTGATTTATTAGAAGTAATATGTATAATATTGCATAATGAAACTTACGTACCTAACATACCAAAGTAATTAACCACACAAATTAACTGTTTGAGAAGTTAATCTAACCGCATGGCACAAATTATGACAACTATTGTTAATGAAAGCTCGCGTAAATAGTTAACTATTTATTCATAATTTTGAAGTTAATATTTATTTAATCAAATACCTTGAAAAACACATTGAATACTTTTTTAACGAAATGACCTAAATATCCATCGTTTTATTGAAAATCATTTTGTAAATAACAACAAAGTAAGCATTTTAAGTAAAAATAAGTCAATATATATTGCATAACAATAGTTACACTTACCCTAGTTTAAAAGACGCTGTTACAATGACTGACCGAAGTGATTTAAGCATTTCAATCCGAAGTGCTGATATTGGTCACCGATTAGATAAGATAACTAAACAGCTATATCTTTCCGAGTGCCTATATGACTTACTCATATTTTTGGAAAATACCAAATAATTTGTTATTCATATTTGCGTAGGCCAATTACTACGAAAAATCCCTAATTGGTAGATAATACTCTGTCATATTTTTCGCCGATTTTTATTATAGTTAAGATAAAGATGCTTTTAAGCCTGTTTTTTTCATAAGTTTTAGGTGAGACGGGGATTAATGGGGTACAGAAACCTTGCCAGTTCTATTCACAACATTAGTAGAGAAAATCATAAACTTGTTAGGGAGCAGATGATTTTTTCTGGCTATCGTGGATCTATCATTTATATCGGTAATAGTGGCCTTTTCTCCCAACTTTTATCGCTAATACTTACCTACTCTAATAATTTACTCTTTTCGTGAACCAAAGTTTTACTTTTTTCTACTTATTAGGTACTAAAGTGAGGAGCTCGATGGCGCAAGTGGTAAGCGCGTTCGGCTGCGATCGTTGAAGTTAAGCAACTTTTGCAGTGGTCGGTCATTGAATGGGTGACCAAAAAATTTACGATCTCGAGCTCCTGCGTGCTTCGGTAGGCATGTTAAGCCGTTTGTCCCGCCTGCATCTGCGGTCGTTAGCACCCTCCAAGCCGCACTGGGCCCGCGTGGTGGGTCATGGCCTAATCTCCCTATTCCTTCCCTAGGGAAGGCCTAAGCCCTGGCCTTCACTGCTGGCAGTGGGGACATTAATAAGCTGATGATGAGAGGTACTAAAAAATCAACCTTAATAAGTGTAAAATAATAATTAACGTGAATATCAGTCTAAACTTATAAAATTTAATTTGATACTCCTTTTCATTATGAATAGAGCATGATAAGGACAAAATATGTCAATTTTAGTTACAGGTTTAGAAAATCATACTACAATAAGGCTCAATATCGAATTAATTTTCAGCTTGTCCTTTCAGAAGGACAAAGTTAATTAATAAGTTTGATGAGTTTCTCTATCAAAAATAAACAGTAGGTACCTATCTCTGATCTTATCGTTCACAGTATCGATTGATTATATAAATTAGAGTTGTTATTTATCTTTGAAGGCTATTCATAATGTCAGACATAATTTATATAACTACTAAAAAGTTGGGAGTCGCTTCTTTTATGCGATAATCACTTGATATCAATCTCCACGATGATTAAGAATCATAAAGACTATAAGTTGTCACACCACAAACTCTTTCAAACGTATAATATACCTACTTACTTACTACGAAATTAGCGACCTCCTGCGACTTCTTTCGCGTTAACTTAATTTTTTTTGAGAATCCCATAGAAACCTAAAATTTTTTTTCCGCGATAAAAAGTATCTTGTCTCAATCCAGTCATAAACTTTAAGCGTACCAAACACCCAAATCCGTTCAGTAGTTTTTGCGTGATTGAGTAACAAACGTACAAACACAGAAATCTACAAAGACACAATCATACAATACAAACTTTCACATTTATAATATTAAGTAGAGTGAGAAAAAAGAGCTTGAGGGAAGTTGAGCTACTTTCGCAATGGCCGGTCATGACGTTGTTTAGACGTACGGGTGGAAATCGCCACGCGTCCAAGATGAATTGGACGCAGGCGATGGCCGCCCGACTCATTGAATCCGGACTATTGTCCGAGAGTCAAGCGGACTGGATTGCGTGCTATATCCGCTTCATGGAGTGGGACGAGTACTCCACAACGAGCTATGGCCTCGGAGACAGGCGCATAGTCGACACCAACAATGAAGGCATCAAGCTACCGCTCACTTTCCCGCCGCCACGCTCCATCGTGCTGAAGCCCATCCGCAACAAGAGGTCGCCGAAACCGGAGGAGGCGCAACCCCGCGCCAGACGCCCGCGCGGTAGGCGCCCTAGCCGCTCCCGCAGCTGTGGCGACTCCCCGGTAACGCCTCTTACCCCTTTGCCAGCACCGGTGAAGACCCCTATGAATAGGGCTGCCATCCGTCCGGGTTTCCCCGGATTTGTCCTAGTTTACGGGGCGTCCGGGGAGCGTCCGGGCGGAGTTTTATTTGTAGACCGGGTTTAAAAATTTACGGCAACGCATGAGTGGCCCTTGTTGCTGCAAGTTTCCATGGGCAGCAGAGACCACTTATTATGAGGTAGACCGCTAGCTCTTTCCGGGGTTATCACGCGTCTTATCCTGGTTACCATATTTTAAAGATGGCAGCCCTACCTATGAAGGAGGAACACCAGCTCAAGCAAGAGACCGCCCCCGCCGCCCGCGAACAACCACCGACCGAGTTACCGACTGCTTTACTGACGCAGTCGCCAAGCTGCGCACTTGTTCCTCCGTGAGCGTACCAATACAGACCGTGACCGCTCTTGTGATTTTGAACCGACTCTGTGACAAGCAGAAAAACTAAGCTTGGTGATAACATTTAGCCCCAATTGATTGTGGCAGATGTTAACAATAGTTGAGGGCAGATCCTCATCATCACTCTCTTCCACGCCATTCACAAGAAGTGTCTTTCTACGGTGTCTAGCCTCAATATCATCAGTGCTGCGGGCCAAGGCATTAATTTGCTGTCGAAATAATGTCAATATTCCTCCAACCATGTCTTTAAATGCAAAAAATTCCGTGCTCAGAACTTTGAGATCTTCAGCTGGTGAAGAAGATGTATTTGAGGCCTTCAAATGTTTTCAAAGCTGGCCATACGCTGCATGAGTGTTTCCTCAATGGCCTTTTGGTTCTCCAAGACAGCTGCAATGCTAGTCATCCTTGATGCAGAAAAAATGAACTCCAGAAATAGTAGCGACGTATAATAGTGCAGTGAAGTGATGCTGATAGCAGTAACTGTTGACCTGACGGCAGTGGCGGCGCTAGGCGTCGGCGACGTCGGCCATCGCCGACGGCCTCGCGCCTGAGGGGGCCACGCAAATTTTTTTACAAGTTACCTATTTATTTTCGTTTCTCCTGGCCTGGCTTAGGTATCCGACCCCGAACAATCCGGGGAAAAAGCTAAGCAGATGATAATGACTTTTATTATTTTCGAACACGTGCGTGATGGAAGCGAGTAGTACTTTACAGGTATTCAGAATCGTCTGTCTGGCAACACTATTTTTGTAATTAAATTTCTATGTTTGTAATTATTTTTTGTCATCATTTGATTATCAACAATAAAACTCGTTTACTCATACATTATTTTATAATTTGGCTCACTTAATTTAGCGGTTTTTTACTGCGAAAAAAAATAGGCCTCGCGAACTTGATGTCGCCGACGTCCACATGTGGTCTAGCGCCGCCACTGCCTGACGGGTTGGCACTCTCAAGATTTTTCTACTGGCATGTGATGATATTGCCAACACAATATGTTGTAATTTATGTCAAAAAGTACAGTTTACACACAACTAAATTTAATTAATGTATTAAATAAAATAAATTATAAATATGTTTTACTCAGAAGAGATGTTACGATTTTAGCGCCTACCCGCGAAGTTATATATACTGGATTGTAAAAATGTTTTACACCGAAACATTTCCTAGAATTATGAATAGGGAGTTTCAGAGTTTAGTTTCTAAGGTCCGTATTACAGAATGAGAACTAAGTGTTGATCTTTACTTGATTACAGTTAGAAAGGGATATCGCTATGTGCTATATCCCTTTCTAACTGTAATCAAGTGTATCCCTAGCGGCATCCCTTTCTAGCTATGCGCAAGACTAGATCAATCACTGAGAATCTTTCTATAATACGGGCCTAAGTTTAGGTTAATTTCAGTGAATAGGTAGGTATACTTATCTTAATAGTAAATGTTATTTTCTTAATTTATTTATCATAATAAACAGTAGTTACTTTCTCTTAGTTTTTTACAGCATTTGAAAAACCACAGAGGTTTGCGGCAACACATCAGTTACTAGTGTAAACAACCAATAAAACGACAGTGTCAGGGATAATATTTAAATATTTATTTGATAATTTATGGTTTTTCTTATGAACGAATAATGTTTTGAAGCCGTAACCGTGATAATTAATTTAAGGATAGCCCATAGCATCTTAGGTACATGATCCTTATTGTGCTTCACAAACCTTTGCCAAATATTATCACTTAATGTTACCACTGGGAGAGAGCGCTTCGCACCATACTAAGTGATGACAAAAAGAGAACTAAGAGAGGAGCTCGGGTGAAGTCGCCTTAAATAGTCTTAAGATACAAAATTTAAAACTAATTAATTAAATGTCAAGATGGCGCCGTCCGAGCTTACCAACTTTTCAACTACCCCCTGATAATATTTACAAAATTAATAATTTTACTGTTATCACAGGTGTTAAGGAGTCTCAATCATTAAGAAAAAGGCAATGTTTGATAGATTACAGCTAACACTAGCTTAAATAGTGAATTTAATACAAGGTACGATGTTTATAGGATAGAGTTAGGTGCATTCCAATGTCTTAAAATATTTTTTTTTCATCTTGTATTTTACATTCAATGGTGTATGTAGACAATTGATTAAATCTGCGGGTAGATCGTTGATCATACGCGAGACTAGGAAGGTAGTAGTTCTGCTACCGAACACGTTATTTTCTCGCTTCGTACAAAGCGGAATGGCTCCCTAGCATAGAGAAAAGTAATATTACTAGAAACTCGCTAGCCACGGCGCTGTGCAGACGTGCTCTGCATCGTGTCCGCGTCTCGTGCCTGTTATTCTTCGCCCGTGCCCGTGGCACTAGTATTCAAGTTAGACTCTATGTATATGAAGGTCGCCTCGAGACGTTACTTCGATAAAGCCGCGCATCATCCGAACCCCTTAGTAGTAAAAGCTATTACTTACCACACGTCCGCCCTCCCGTCCTCCAATCGTAGTTCCCTCCGATTCCGTCGGCCTAGGCACGTCTTAGAGTACCCCGACGATGAAATCACCTGCGCCAACGCGCGTCCGATTCCTCCCACAAAGGCCACAAACAC